TCTCTCTCTCTCTCTCTCTCTCTCTCTCTCTCTCTCTCTCTCTCTCTCTCTCTCTCTCTCCCTCTCTCTCTCTCTCTCTCTCTCTCTCTCTCTCTTTTCACACATTTAGACAGAAGGGGGTCACACACACCCTCCCTCTCTATTCCTCTCGCCTTCTAGAAAATGGAAGAAACTCCTTACTACTCTGTATAATAATAAAAAAAATCTATGCTCGTGCTCGCTTCTTTTCGCCCCCGAAGGTTCGCGTTCGCGGGCGAACGCAAACTGCATCCTACATAGGTACAATATGTGTAGAACATCCCATCATGACTGTGACACACTGTCAAACATTTTCGTGCAGTCAGGAAAGCGGCTAGTCCCGAGCATAGTTGTCTATAACTCGTTTGTTTTCATCGAGCTCTTAGGCCAGAACTTGAGATACCACTACGAGTAGCAAAGTGGTTAAGAGGTGTATTCACAACAAAAATGAACTTGATTTTAGCCCCGTATCACGACATTCATAATAAGCATTGGAGGCTTGTTGTAGCTGACCTCAGATGCCAAGTGATTGACTATTACGATTCGATAGAGTCGAATATTGAGGTAGCAAAACAAGTAGCGAAAAAGCAAGTAGACACTAGTCACTTCAATCAGAAATGGGAGGCCGAGGGCATTCCAAAGCATGATGTTTGACAAATCCACCGAACAAGGTCAGCAAGTAGACACTAGTCACTTCAATCAGCAATGGGAGGCCGAGGGCATTCCAAAGCAACACGATATGAGCCAACGTGGCGTGTTTGTGCTTGCGTATGCATCTCTTTTAGCGAGAGGATTTTTGCCACCATTTGACTTCGTGATGGGCGATGTAGAGCGCATCAGACGCCGGATCGCCATTGACTCAGTAGCCTCAAAATGATGGCAGTTTGAACTTTAACATACCTACAAGGTATTTTAAGATGTTCAAGTTATGTGTAGTATATTAAAAAAAAGAAGTTTTGAAACTAAATGAATCAGTTGTTAAATTTTCAACAACCGGTTGTATTTTTTTGCATGTATGGAGGGACATTTAGACACCTTACAATAATATCAACAACGATGGTGATTTACAACTTTGGACTGCATCCTTGTGCATGAGTCATTTGTGGATCCCCTCCTCCCCCCCCCCCAAGTCCAGAATGCTCTTATACAAGCTGCAAAGGGATGATTCCTAATGCAGATGTGATGTAATGACAATACTATCAACTTGCTAAATGTTTAGATATAAGCAAGGCGGTAGGATCCAATGACTTGTATGTGGGGAGTATGATTATATGTATGCCGCCTGATGATGCAATGTACAATTATATGCATACCGCCTAATGATGTAAATGGGCCTTGAGCACCATATACGATAATTCCTATACCGTACACATGGACCATAACATGATCCATGATAACCCCCTGATCATAGATCATAAACCACAACCATAAGCATGGTCTATGATTTACAATGAGAACTTGTATCATAGACTCTGGCAATACAAAGGTTGGCATCACCCACCCTTAAAGCCCAAGTGCATGGTCCTAGCCAGGTTGAAAATCCGATTGAGCCTCTCCTAAAAATTTTGGAGGCTTGGGACAGGGCATCTGAAGGGCCGGTAGAAAAAGAAATTGTCCCATGCTGTGGGGTGGCACTAGACCCAGCCCTAAACCAAAAAAAAAAAAGGCCCTTCCCCGGGCGGGTCCTGTCCCGAGTCCCCTAACTTTCCGGAGGCTCATTCAAATTCTCCAGATGTATTGGTGGTTTAAGAAAAGGAAAATCACCATTTGTCACAGAAAAATCCTCTGTTTTCAACAAAATATGATTTGGCGATTTTACAAAAAAATGTTAATCTTAGTGAAATGTCATTTTTGTTTTTATACTTATTGTCATACTTATTGTTGTACTTCTCATCGTACTTGTCGTCATACTTCTTCTCATGATACCTCATGCCATACTTCTTGTCATCATACGTATTGTCATACTCATTGTCATACTTACTGTCGTACTTATTGTCATACTTATAGTCATACTTATAGTCGTACTTATTGTCATTCTTATTGTCGTACTTATTGTCGTACTTCATTCCATAGTTCTCGTACTTGTTGTCGCACTTGTTGTCGCACTCGTTGTCGCACTTGTTTTCGTACTTAGACTCGTACTTATAGTCGTACTTATAGTCGTACTTCATGCCATAGTTCTCATACTTGTTGTCGTACTTGTTGTCGTACTTGTTGCCGTACTTGTTGTCGTACTTGTTGTCGTACTTGTTGTCGTACTTGTTGTCCAACTTGTTGCAGTACTTGTTGTCCAACTTGTTGTCATACTTATTGTTGTACTTCAGGTCGTAGTTCTCGTACTTATTGTCATACTCCTTGTTGTACTTATTGTCGTTCTTGTTGTCATACCTATTGTCATACCTATTGTCATACCTGTTGTCGTACTTCTGCCCGTACTCCTTGCCATGCTTCTCCTCGTAGTTTTTGTCATTCTTCATGCCATACTTGTGGTCACTGCATTTGTTGTCACCGTATTTACTGTCATAGTTACTCTTGTCCATCTTGTCATAGTTCTTCTCATCATACTTCATCTCATATTTCTTGTCATCGTACTTCTTCATGCCATACTTCTTGTCATCATACTTATTGTTGTACTTCTCGTCGTACTTCTTCATGGCGTACTTCTTCCCATCATACGTATTGTCATACTTCTCGTCGTACTTCTGGTCATCGTACTTGTTGCTGTATTTCTTCTCATATTCCTTCTCATCATTCTTCGTGTTGTGCATCTTCATGCCGTACTTCTTGTCACCGTAGTTCTTGTCATCATACTCCTTGTCATAGTACTCATATTCTCCGAGATGCCTGCCACCGATGTCAATCTTTGTTTCTGTAGTCTGAGCTGTAGCTGCCTTGGACGCAGAGTCATCCTCGCCAGTACGGATTGCAACAGACTGCATGACCAAAGCAAGCACAATCACTCCAACACGTCCTATATCTCGTCGTGCCAATCTGGCCTGCCCAGTGGCGTGCCTCCTGAGGACCGCCATGGAATCTGCCCACAATATGCCGACTTTCGATGGCTTCTAGACCTGCCTGTGAAGGAGACGTGCAGCAAGTAGAGCGAGGACAGTTCCTTTTGGCAGTTGTAGTAGAAGCGACTGGGGTGGATGTCAGCTGATTGTCAGTAGTGCTAAGGCAATCACTGACTCCCTTAGCCTGTCATTGCTTAGTGAAGTGGCTGACGAGGTCATGGCTGGAATGTGCAACATTGCAGGCATATATACTCCCCCAGGCAACCTGTGACAATCTAAGTTGCTTCCAGCTGCTCTCAAGGAACCACAGTCTGGCCATCCAAGCCAGCACGTTTGGTAAGGAGGGTCTTCAAAGCAGTAGTTTCTCCTTATCTCTGTGTGCTCATCATTTGGGGCACTAGCAAGCAGAAGTTAAGGCACAGGGAAGATTTGCATACTGCATTAGGGACCGAGAATGGATAGGTTATGATGCAGTGTAATGGGGGAGGGACGTAAAGTGCTTGGCAGTGGTTGCATGATTACGCACCTTTGACGCGTAACTTAAAATGATTGATTAGTGAATGATCATACTGCACATATTGTGGTACTGATGACCAAGTGCCCATATTAGATGTGGAGTTTTCCGAGGCACCTTTGCATTTGCTACCATATATTCATAGAATTCACAGCTTTCAGGGTCAGGTTCTGCTTCTTACATTCTGTTTGTACTCGGACCCAAGGCCATTTCCGTTTGCTGCAATGAATTCAACAGCCCTTAGGCTCAGACAATAGTTCGTCTGCTTGTGACTGTCTGGTTCTGACACTAGGGCCTCCACTGTTTGCCTGCTTGGAGCGGTACAGATAGATGGTGTCTTATGTGGGGTGACGGTGGTCTGTTCAAAGGCCCTTTGCGTTAGACTGCCATAGAACTCAGACGACTTGCCTTCAAACCACTGGTACGTACTTGCCTTTGAACCACGGGTACGTGTCCCAGCCATTCTTTCAAAGTTGCCGTGTGCATGCAGCCGCAACTTTCAGGGCTCAGCCTCAGGAGCAAAATGGCTGGCGACGCCGGCCAAAAGGAGGCTCGCGTCGGTTCTTTTTTGTTTGGTGCGCAGGGCATTTCCAGCCCCGGAGACAAGTGCCTCGGAAGTACTGGTGGCTTAAAAGATTCGTTGTCTGCTCATAATTATATGTCCCTGCATTGCGGTGTTTAGTCTTTGCGGCCAACATGCATGCCATTCAGTTTTTACCTTTCATCAGCTAGCGCATTCTGTGATGGGCCACAAGGCACAAGGTGAGGTGTACTCCTGTCTTTGAGTTTCTCTGATTCTGGGGGAAGCATCACTCCTGGTTTTCCAGTCGCCACGCAAACAGGAACGAGCATATGAATGGAATTCATGGTGTATCTCATTAGGAAGAGGCTTCCAGCCACGCCCACATCGCTCCGCTAACCTACCCCTACTTTTCGGAAAGCACATGTGTTTGACATAGGTCAATACTGCATTTACTGCTCACTGGAGCATGCATGACAACCTAAGGGACCGGGTGTAGTCTTGGTGGTGCGAACACGACAGCTATGTTTGGTATTTGTCAGGTTGTTATTGCCCTTTGAGTGTTGTGTCTGAATAGAAGGGGGGCGACGAGTTGCTCATGTAATGGGAGGCTAGGTTTAGCTATTGTAGTTCATTGCTTTTTCATATACTATCTTAGATTAGCATCATCATCATCATCATCATCACTATCAGCCCATCATCATCATCATCTTCATTATCATCATCTTATTTTCAGCATCTTCATCATCAAACACTTTCTAGAAGGGACACTGGACACGGGTGGCCGACTGGGTCAGTGTAAGGATAGTCCCGCCTTGCATCTATAATCCAATGACTGTAAACACTTTCATAAAAATCTACATTTTGGTATTAAAAAAAAAAAAAAGCATGCTGAGTAACATTGCTATGGTGGCCGACTGGGTCAGTGTAAGGATAGTCCCTGCCCTGCATCTATAATCCAACGACAACGCCTCCCATCTTCCGCTTACTGCAGCATATTGGGTATTTCTCTTCTCCTGTAACAGGTTAATCAGATTAGGCACTGTTGCTTTATTTTGTCATCATCCACCAGCTCCCTGTTTTTTTACCCTGTTTTGATTCACGATCCACCGGAATATATATATATATATACATATATATCTGTTTGTGACGATATATATATATATATATATATATATCAGCACCTCTCCCTCTGCACCTCAACCTCTGCCACACATTTTGGTGGTGAAAACAACCATTCTTTGCTTCCAGTTTGGCAGCACTTGGTCCACAAGCATCGCACAAACACATGGAATCATACCTCCCCTGTTGGGCAGCAGTTGCAATCACAGTCTGCTAATGTGGGGTTCCATTCCCATCACTCAGAGGCATTCCAGGCCAAGTTTGTGAGCGCAGCAGTGAATTCACGATCGTCACCATGTACCTTATCGCCAGTATGGCACCGAAGATTGTGCTCATTTGATAACACTTCAGTCCCTCTTTCATGCATAGCTTTGTCTCCATGGCTTTGTGTGTTTTCTATCTTTTTTTCTCCTTCCCTTCCACTTCGATGTACGCGTACTTTGCATGCTTTACATTTCGCCCTCTGTGACTTTCTTTCTCCTTTTAATTTTTCACATGCATTGACGGCCGCAGTGCATTTTGTCTGCGTTACCCTAATCACATACCTTATCAAGTGGAATTTTATGTTTGTGTCAGTCACCACTACTCATCGTTTCTTTTCTTAAGAAATTCAAGAGTTCTGGCAGCCTGCTGCTCAAGGGGGAGCCTCAAGTTGCCCTTTCCAGTTGCCGGGACAGCATGCCGCTCCAGGAAAGCCCCAAGTTTAAAGTCTCTCACTGATTGCTGAAGGTGCAATCTTATTTGCAAGTCTGCATGGTCTGTCGCTAAGAGATTTATTGTCCGGAGTACTAACTGTGTGCTTGCCCTGTGTTTTCTATGTCCCGAGAGGGGGTGGATTATAAATAGGGAAATCGCAGGGACAAGACTGGAATTGGGTACCGAATGGACTTGTAGAAAGGTGAGGATGGACAGGGACACAGGTATAATTTGGCAGTACTCGGTAGGCATTTTCCAGCAACTCTGGTAGGCCCAGCTCTGGCCAAGCAGAGGTCTGGTAGGCTTAGAAGGACCCAGTAGCTTCTGAAGGTCATGAGTAGTCAGGGCCCATACTTAGATCACGGGTAGGTTAGATTTAGGCCCTGAAGTAGGATTGCAGGCTTTAATGATGTTCCTGCCAAAAGGCAGGAACTTCTGGTAGTCCTAGCACACCGGTGAGGGAGTAGTACCATCGCTAAATTGCGGCCAGAGGCCTAGTTGCAAGAGTATATCATTCGGGCACAATGAGAGAAGCAGTATCTTACCCGGCAGCCATGCTGCTGCTCGACCCAGAGGGTGAAGGTAGGCGGATCCCCTGCTGAGCGCTGGAAGTGAAGGGTGGAGACGGCGACCTCCATGGCTATCCAGTAGTGGTAGTAGTACGAGTAGGCATAGGCTATGGAGGTAAACGGTGAAGAGCCTCATGCTATGGAGAAGGGTAAGAGAAGGGTGTAGAGGGTGAGGAAGGGGAGAGAGAGAGAGGAACATATGTTAGAGACTCAGCGTTTGCTATGGTTGACCTTCATCTTCACTTCTCTGGTTGACCATGCATCTGGAAGGCCCGTGTGTGGGTACTGGTTGTTCTTGGACTTCATCCGAGAGGCATAGCCATGGTGGAATGGGATAGGGGAGGCATAGTAGTGATGGTGTTGGCCTTTAAACATCCATGACGAACATGAATGGACCGCCTTAGCGGTTTTTTTTTTTTTTTTTGTTACGAGCAGTCAACTCTAGCACAGTAAGGGGGGGGCTCCATCTATTGGTGGGGAGCAACGGCATAGCGGTAGCTGTAACTGAGAGAAGAGTTGTGAGGTTATTGCCAAAAGGGGGGGTCTTTGAGTGCTGGCAGTAAGGGGGATATGTGGACATGATTCTTGGTCATTCATTCATTTGTTGTTCTATTTAACTGGTTATTGGAAGAGGAGTAAGGGAGAAGAAGATGAGATGGAGAAGAAGCGAGGGGGACGACATTGGTTCAACTTCTGAAACTCCTCTTCTTCTTCTGTTCTCTTCATTCCATTCCTTCCTCTCTCTCTCTCTCTCTCTCTCTCTCTCTCTCTCTCTCTCTCTCTCTCTCTCTC